ACAAGGTAAGTCATGCACTGATATCTGAAGAACAATACTGTTAGGCTGCTTATATCCTTGACTCTTCTGCCTCTAATCCATTCCCATTTTTCTAGAGAACAGCCTTCTTGTTCATAGTCTGATAGTTTTAAAATCTGCATTGGTATACCGCTTAGAGTGTCAAAACTATTAAGACCACTCTCTATAAAGCCTCCCTACATTACCCGATGTCCTCATTAACCACCACTAACCAACTGGATAGCTATTCATTCAACACATACTCACTAGGGCTCTATTCTCTCCCACCCCATATATCACTCATCATCCAAGACCACTTTTAGGTCATTGCTCATCTACCCACTTAGTCACTTCTCCTCGGAAGCCCATCCCACCTAGCCATACCACCCTCTACTCTTATTTATGGATCTCGAATTTGCCCTTCCTAAATATGTGAAAACTTAGGCTCCTGACTCAGAGTTCGCTCTTTGTCTCAAGCGATGCAGCTGTCTATTTTCCATGAGGGTAAAAGTGAGTAATAAAGAAGTCATAGTAAGTGGTGGAGTGAGTTTAACTCTTTGTGAGTCCATTCTTAAATTTCTAGTACCAACGCATACTTGAAATCTAAAGGTACTGATACTGTATTATTTATCATTTTATTTAGGTAAAATAAAGTCCTTATTAAATAATCCTCAAAGAGGCAGAGTAACATCACATAAAACCATGGGCTTTGCAATCTGTAAAACCAGTGTTCACACTCATTTACTAGCTTTGAGACCCTGAAAAAGATACATAATCTCTCTAAACTTCATTTTCCTTATAAAATGGGCATGATAATAGTTCCTACCTCCCTTAACACAGGGCCTTGCTTATGATGACTGTTAGGTCTTATTTACACATGACTGTTTTTTATCAACATTTAAAAGTAATTAAATACTTTTTTTTCTGTCGGTTTTTATGTACCTTCATGACAAGTACTGCCGCTCTCTTAACTGTGGATATCATCAGCATAGAAAACAGAACTTACATCTTCTCCGTATTAATGCCGAACTCTCCCTCTGTGTCAGTCAATATTTGCTTTATATATTTAGGTTCCCCTATGTTGGGTGCATAGAGGTTTAGAAGGTTTAGAGCCTCTTGTTGGATTCATCCCTTTATCGTTATAAAATGTCCCTCTTTGTCTCTTATTATAGTCTTTGTTTTAAAGTCTATTTTGTCTGCTGTAAGTATTGCTACCCAAGCTTCTTCATGTTTCCATTCACATGAAATATCTTTTCCCATCCTTTTACTTTCAGTCCGTGTCTTTTGATCTGAAGTGGGTCTTTATGGACAGCATTCATAAGGGTCTTTGTTTTCTTACCCATTCAGCTGCCCTCTGTCTTTTCATTGGAGCATTTAATCCATTTACATTTAAAGTGATTAGTGATAGGTACATAGTTAATGCCATTTTTTAATTCATATTGATGTTTTTTCTCCCCCTTTCTTTTTCTTAAAGAAGGCCCTTTAATATTTCTTATAATATTGGTTTGGTGGTGATGAACTCCTTTAGCTTTTACTGGTTTGGGAAGCTCTTTATCTGTACTTGGGTTCCTCATGGAACTCAAGCATTTCCCACTTGGGTGTGCCTCCAAGTCCTCCAGTTTCCCTTAAATAGACAAGACATCTTAAGGATCCCGTGGAGACTTTCACTTTACCTCTGCCCCTGCTTTCCGACTTTCATTGAATTCTGTCGTTCACCTGGCTTCCTATGACTTCTCTCTCCTTTCTGTCCTCTCCACTTGGGCTTGTTACCATATAGTATCCCTTCATTTCATCTATTCAAGTAGCCCTACCCCACGCTGTTGTGTAGTAAATATTCAGCTGTTTGCTAAAGGTTTAGGGTGAAATGGGAAATTACACTACAATCCAAAGTGGCACACAACATGGAACTGAATATTAGAAATCACTGAACTAAAAAATGAGTTTTTGTAAATAAAGTTTTTGGAACACAGCCACACCCTTTCATTTACCTATTGTCTGTGGTTTCTTTCACACTACAACATCAGTGTTGAATGGAAGCCACAGAGACCCAGGGACTGTGTGACACACAAATCAAAATATGTCCATTTTTCTTAATCATACAGATCAATGCATTTGTCCCTTCCTTAGTCTGGTTATGCCTTGAAGTCCTAAAATTTATCTATAAGATCCTCAAGGAATTTTCAGAAACAACAGCACCAAAAACCCTAGAAAAAGATTAAGCCACTCCTCTAGAAAGCAGAATTAAAAATACCACATTTTAAAGTAAATTTCCTTTTTTTCTGTTTTACCTCTTCCCATATCAATGTGCCCTAAACCAAATCTGGCATTTTATATTGATATACATGTCAGAAATCCTAAATTCAACAGAGGACAATCTAAGTGGCCACAGGAAAAGGTGAGAGGGTGGGAGAGGCATTTATAGTTAACCAAGATACAGGTCATTCAATAAAGAAAAATGGAAATGAATTTGCAAAGCCCTATGTTTATTATCTGGCTTCTACTCACTTTGCTTTTGTCCTATAGCTTGTTTTTCATGATTGTTTATGGAAACAAATGAAATATATATTGCTTTTTTAAAATTCAGAATTGGTAATCAACTTTTTGAAAAGATAATGATCATTCATCTTGATCAGTCTCAAATGGGCGTATACATACACATTATTTTATATCAAGGTACATCTTGAATTTGGACACATTATTTTATATCAAGGTACATCTTGAATTTTGTACATTGACTGTTGGCTACATTTTAAGAAAAAGTTAGAGTGACCTTAATGAATTTATCTCAGATTTCCCTTTTAAGATTAGAATTTTGACTACGTGTATGCTACAAGAGAAGGTTAATCACGTGTGGCAATATCTGGTGGACAAGGAGTGAGTCAGAGTCTGTACCAAGCTGAAAACCTGTGTGTCCAAGCAAGGTGCAGGGGCAGAAGAGATGACATAGGTAAAGAGGTGGGCTCCAAAGACACAGATGCGTGTTGAAGGACATGAGAATGTTCAATGCTGATATAGGTGACACATGATGCTGGGAAGACTTCTGAGCTAGAAAGAGAACAATGATGAGGGACCCGGTGGCAGTAATTACTGGGGGTGTCAAGTGAGCTGATGAGCCTCATCCGGATCTGTCCATTGGTGGAAGGACAGTGTCCATGGCCTCAAAGAAGAAGAGAGGCTTCAGCATGGAAGCATTTGTATACCTTAGACTCTACAATACCTTCTTTCAGTCTTCACTGTGATGAGGGGAGGAGGATGTGCTATCTGAAGCTGACCCTCCACCAAACTACCATTTTTTGTTTACTTCCCCCTGACACAACTATGGTTCAGAAAAGAGGCTCAAGGAAAGATTTTACGTGTTAAGAGAGATCTGTATATTTTCTGGAATGAGGCTCTCTTTATTTAGTTGCTCAACTCTGAGAACACTTTTGACAAAAGCAGCAATGAGGAAAGGTCAGTTAATCATTAATCTCTCTCTTATCTACATTGTATCTCAATTGATGCCATACTTTCCTGTGCCCTACATAGCCACCACAACAGAGGACAATAAACACTTCTTTTGAACTTGTAATTTATGTGTAATTGCTAGCACCATGATTATTAGCGTATAAATTCTGGGTAGTTCAGTTGTTGACCATGCGGTCATCTAAATAAAAACATTGTTATTTCAGGGTCCTTCCGTGACAAAGTACTATAAAGTTGGAAAACACCTTGAATTAAAATGACCGTTGAAAGGAGATAATTCGTTTCAACGGAATAATATCGAAGACTTATAAAATCTTTAAAATGACCTCACAGAGCTGTAAACATGTGCCCTAGGAGATGCTGAAGCGCTCCCAATACCTAATGAACTTCTCTCCTGTTTGGATTATTGTCACTCCATCACCTTTTTTCTTTGTGCTAAAAGTACACACTATCTAGTCAGGGGAAAGACTGCACTTAGGATATAGAAATAGTCTCAACTACTGAAAGAAAGAAACTCTTGTCTAGGATTTCTGTTCACAAGTTTGTCTTTTTTTTATTTTTTATCAAATGTTTATAATATGAAATGGGCTCATTAAGAAGATTTGGAAAACGCAGGAGGAAAGTATAAAATACAATGATACTACCCAGTGATAACCCATTAATGTTTTAATTCACTTTCTGTTAATCTTTCTTATATATTTTTCTTTATACGCATAATGTCTTTTTTTCTTAAATACCTTCCTTTAATTTTATAGTGCAGAATCCACTTCTTTTGGACAGACTGGAGTAAAATATATGCTGTATTCGTTTTCATTTTCTCAAAAAGAAAAAGTAATATCTGTTTATTAAAAGGGCATTAAATGAAGATGGGTCAAGATTATTTCAGAGAAATATCTGGAAAAAAAATAAGCTTTGGATATTTCCTAAGCTCTATTTCAAAAGTACTTTGTACTTTGTTCTGTATAAAAATCATATTAAAATTTAAAGAGGATAATTGTTATCATAATAGTAACTACCTCACTTTTGTATGGATTCAGAATACACTAAATTAATAAAGAAAGCATGAGATTTAAGAATGTATCAAGTTAATAAACATGTATTGACACTTTCTAAATAAGTGGCCCTAGAGTCTCTAAGGGGTCCATATCCTTATAGATCAAAAATTCATTTGGTATGATATTATGGGCCACGCTAATGATCTCTAAAAATTATTAGAATCTTTCTGGATATTTAAGAATAGATTTGTATATGACTACTGCTAACTTCCATGTAACTTTGGTTTTAACAGTTGCTTTTAGAATGTATTCTGTCACATTTTACCTTGATAAATACAGAGAGCTGGACACCAAGCTGAATTTCAATTTAAAATCATGCGAGATAGGAAAAAAAAAACTGTAAGTCAAATCAACTGACAAACTAGGAGAAAAAATTTGCAACTTATATCACAGATACATGGTAACGGTATTATTTAGAGAGTTAAAAATTCTAGGACCAATTCTCTCTCATCTCCCTCCAAAATGGGAAAATGACATACAGCCAAGTCACCAAATAAAATCTTTTATTTCTTGAGTTACTGAAGAACAAACTTTTAAAGGACTATAAATTAATTGCTTAGTAATTGGCTTTTCTTAGAATTAAAATTCTCTATCACAAAAATAATTTTGTGTTTTTTTCCTCAGACTTAAGTCAGTGAGCAATGTAATTAACAATTATCTGATGCCTCTGATTTTTTTAATTGCAAGAAATCCATTAGACTTTATCTCTATTACAACAGTTATCTATGGGAAATACTGTGTATACAATGTATAAAATGCCATATTGCCTAACTTTGTATTATTGAGCAATTCTGTTAACTTCTGGCCTTACATTTTTCATCTGAAAAGTAGGGGCTGGACCAATTGATGTCCAAAGCTATTTCTAGTGCTAATATTCTAACTTCGTTTTGTTCACGTTTTTGTACACTTGTGAGATGTTAGTTTAAGACTATGAAGCTTAAATGAAATATTGTGATTGCAGCATTATAATGAGAAAGGAACAAAAGTTTTTTCTTTGCAAATCTACTTATGGAATATGCTTTGTAATACATTTACTTTTTAAAGTCATCAAAAGCCAAGAGGAAACCAAATGAAAATACATTCCTTCTGAGAAATGCCCTCCTTTTTCTATTTGGTTTGTGTCAGAATGCCTGCTTGGGCTGTGGCATACCACAGTAACACTGTTGCTGGTAACAGCTATGGGCTGGCGGGTGCTTACCAGGTACAACAGAGGCACAGCTCCCAGGGCCAACATCACAAAGACGGCTTAGCTATCCTGTTTACCCGTTCTCTTTCGGGTTTTCACAAATCTTGATATGTAATTCATCAGGTCCACGGACAGCGATTTCTGAGAGCATTCGCAGGTCCATTCAGACTGCTACCCTCACCTCAGGAAAGCATAATGTAAATATCCTAATTTAGAGGGCAAAGAATCATCTAACATGGTTGTATTTTAAAGAAGTTGATGTCTGTTTAATGACATCCACACAGACTTACTGCCATCCTACTGCCATTCATAAAGCCTTAAAGGAGATCTACCACACCGCTCAAAACCTGGTCTACAAACATGCATATTCTCCATTCTCTCCTCATTTTCTTTTGGCAGTTTGACAACATCTTTAGGGAAAGTTGGAGGAACCACTAGTGTTTACTCTCCTACTTCACTCAAAGCCTTGACTCTCTCCAGTTCTATTCCTGTCAGGACCTTAGGAAGTTCACTGTCAATACTTTCCCTTTGACCTCAGTCACTAAAATGATCTCAAGGCTAAGGGACAGACATTACCTCCACTTCACAGGTCAGCTTGCAACACCTGACCTTTAGGAAGGTTTTCTGTGCAGACAGTTGAAACTCATTCCTTTTAGAGACAAATCTAGCTTTGGTCTTAGTGTCTACAATTATTATAATCAAAATCTTTCAGAATTCTCTCAACATTTGGTAAATCCATGCTTATGGAGAATGGACAAAGGCATGTTAAATCTCTTGACAGCAACACCCATTTATTTCATTCAGTATTTAATATGTATTATTATGCACATACTATAGGCCTAGAACTGAGCCTATTAAGAAAACTCTACCCCTGCCTCATGGAGCTCATCCAGAAAAATAGGGAACAAAGTTTTGAACATATCAAATAGAGCCTCAGTTGGGTCAACTCAAAATAAGTTAAAGAAATCAACATGAAAATCTTCAGTTATATTAAGAATAGCTTAATGAACCCCGGGTATAGAAATTTCACTGACTGGAAGGAAGTCCAATAAAACCTCAATCATTGAATATAATCTAGAACCTATACCTAGAAAACCAAACACTAGCCATATTTTTCCCCTTTTAAATTTTCTCATGAGAAAACAATAACAACAACAATAACAACATCGACAACTTACTTCCAAGCCTATGTGGTCAAAATAAGGACCATATAGTAAACCTGACAAACTCAGGGGAGGCCTGCATGACATGCCTTTCAAACTCAGAGACCATAAGTAACCACATAGGATAGGCTGAACATAAAAGTTCCTGACTAAAAGCAGATCATGCATGGCAGGTAGTCACATCCCAAGCCTGTAATTTCCTTGACAAAGTCAATCTTTATCTTAAGCAAGCCTATCTACTGTCTTTTTGCATCTATGATAACATACCCTTGGAATGTCATAATAATCCCTTTTCCAGACCCCTCAGGGTACAACTGCAGCACCAGAGCACAGAGACCACAGAACTCCTCATTGTTATCTTGTTACCAGATTACCATCTCTGTGTGCCCTAAATGTTATTCACTATCCTGTACTCACCAATGTAAAAGAAGTATGTGTCTCTCCATTTTGCTTTTTATCCAATCCCAGAGTTTTCTTCTTTGCTTTCTCTGAGCATTACTTGCCACCCATAGATTTCATGAAACCCTCCTTACGTCTCCTCCTTAATTTTAATGTATTTAAAAAAAAGAAAAAAAGCAGCTGCAAAACTGTCATTCTCCAGAGCTTTTCTCCATCCATTGAGATTTTGCTTCATGGCAGTTGTCAGTTTGGCTCAAATAAATTCATAAAAATTCTCTACTGCTTTGGTTGTTTCTTGACACCTAGAAATAGATGGAAAAGGTTTTTTTTTCCAGCTTTACTGAGATATAATTTATGTATAATATTGCGTAGAGATGGCTGTACAGAGCGATAGATTCCCTGTTTTCCAAATAAGTGCCAACACTGAGCCACAGAACCCTTCTGTTATATCACCCTTTTACAACTGTAATAATGAACAGAAATGATAGTTCACCCTCATTGAGTTTCCTGTTCGCTGTCTCCTTAATTATACCTTCAAGTAAGTGTCATTATAGAGTATCTGGATTTAATAATCCAAGATTCTAAGGTGTTTATTTTATACATCACCTCCACACCTAGTGTCATATCCTCTGCCGAAAATCCAAACATGTGTTGGTCTGGGAGAAAGAGCAAATTCCATGGTTTATTGAACCCAGAAAGTCTTTAGTACATCTCAGATGTAGAACTGTTTAAATATATATAAAGCTTTGTAATTACAGAAGATGCCTTTGAGGTTTATAAGGAGCTTCCATTTCCTCACCATCCTCTCATTCCTTAACTCTGTGTGATACAAATTCTATTTCCACCATTCTATGAACAAAACAGATGTTATTTAAGTTGGGTTATTAAATTTTTTTTCTTTACCTGATTCCAAATGTAACTTGGGTCAATACAGAAAACTGAAAAGCACACAAAAAAATTGAAATATGTATAATCCTATCAACTATTAGTTCATTTTGGTAATTTTCAACTAATTTCTTTTTATGTGTATCAATAAACTACTTTTGTTTTATAAAAGGAATACCAAACAGCACATACTGATATGGAGTCCTTTTCCACTTATGAATATAGCATAGTTTCTCACATTGATATGTTTTTTTCACATTGCTTTCTGCATAGAATTTCATCCCATAAAGCCACCTAGCAAAAATTCCTTATACTTTTGCTAGACACTTAAGGGCTTATATTTTTTTCCAAAATTATACATCTTTGCTCACAGCTCTGATGATCTCTAGGATGAACTCTAAATGGAATTCTAGGTTTAACAGTTATATCCATTTAAAAACTTCAAAACATGAAAAAGTTATGTTAAAACTAAAAGTTTGTGGGCACTGGTCCCCCAATGTTTATTCATTGGTTGCCTTTTCTATTCTGTGCAACTAATGGGAAGAAAATGTCAACTTTTTGTTTGCTCCTTTAATGCTTTTTATTAGTCATACAGGCTTACTCACAACTCTACAAATAAATCTTCCTCATTCATAACTTCCTAGCACTGACTGTTTCACCAGAAAAGTACTCTCCATTATTAAATCCTACCCATCCCAACAATAATGGCATTCACTATTTCCAGGAATTAGGCACTAATACATCCTTGTCCTTACCTTTTTCAAGCACGTATGTTCAATAAAACATTTAGTTGCTCGAGGGCAAGGGATCCACATGCTTAGGGCCAGGTGTCGTTTAATAATTTACCTTCCCAGGGGGCTTCTCAAGTGAGTTGGAAGCCCAGTCATTAACATTAGGGGTTGGGAGTGCAGTGACCAAACCATCTTTGTGACTTTGAAATCTAGCAGTCCTTGAGAGGATTCGGTTGCATACTTTTTTTTAACCACGGAAATCTCAAATACCGTCCCTAACTGTGCCTAATTAATGCCAAATATTGAGCGAGGGCCCTGGTAACCTTGACAGTCTGGATGCCCCAGGACAAAAAGTGGAGCTCTGAGGGGTGTTGGCTCCAGGGCAATCCACTGTCTGAGATCTGGGTTTCTATTTTCAGGTCGATGCGCTTTATTCTTCAATCCAACGTACCGGAAAAGGAGCAATAAGGACCCCGCCAGCTCTTGCTTCCTCTCCACCCATCCTGAGTGAGCTGGTAACTCTGTTAACGAATGCGGTAGTGAACCAGCCTTTTCCCGCAAACCGCCCAGGTGCTTCCGGGTAGGTACATACCAAGAGAACAGGGACGCCACGCCTGCGCCGGCTGAGTCAGAGCGAGTCTTCAGTCAGGGCCACGACCCGGTCCCTCGAGGCTTAACGCACCAAACGGGCTCCGAAGCCTAGCCTTGCAGCCCGCCGATTAGCCCAGCCCGGCCCCTCTTCCTTGCGTCACTTCCGTTTCGGGCGTGGCCCAAGCCATGCCCACCAGCGGTTCCTTATTTGTCACTTGGTGACTGGTGTGTGCGGGGTCTGGTAGCCGCACTCTAGAAGGTTATTGCTCGCTGGCCCTCAGGTGTCCCGCTGATATCCCGGAAAATGACGGCTTCTTACGGCACGCGAACGACACCTCCCCGCTGCCACAAGAACCTTTTTCATTCTTGCCGCTTCGTTGGGATCTTTTTGATGACTCTAGTTATCCTGTTACCGACATCCTCCGGTAGGGGCTTGAGAGCGTTTGCACTCTGGCGGCGAACTGGAGCAGGCCGACCGGAGCCCAGGGCGGGGGGCAGATTTACTTGGGTCAGGTAGGAGGCTCGAGGCTGGGTCGACTCGGGGGATGCGGAGGTGGGGTGAATGCGTAGTCAGAGATCCCCCCTGGGTCTGCTGTGTGCAGGTCGAGGGCGTTGGGGACCTTGTAGTGCCCGCAGTGAAGGTTGCTTTGTGGTCCGCACTGAGCCGTGCGGAGGCGCTAGCCGCAGCTCGTGTTTGTCCAGGGTTAAGGTGTGTCCCTAGCAAAAGCTTGCAGGTGTCTTGGGACTGAGCCAATCGTGCTGGGGCGCGCGGACCCCGGGCTCAAGGTGAGGGCTTGTTCTTGAGTGTTCAGGTGCGTGAGATGTTGCTAAGGCCCATGCTGTATCCGTGGGGAGGGTTTGCGCTGTTATTCTCTCCGCGGGGGGATGCCTTGGTGAGTCGGGTGTTTGCGGGTTGGGCGTTACCGGGTGTGTTCTTTACGGAAGTGGCTAGGCCAGCGGCGCGGAGTGTGGGGCATGGAAACTCCGCTTGCTTTGTTTCGAGGTTGGGGAACGCTTGTTGTGAGTATAGTCCTTGGGTGAGAGCAGGTTCCGGGTGCCTGAATTTAAAGAGTTTTGGAAGGATGCGCAGTGCTTTTATACCTAAAGTTAACAACTGGCTCGTTGTTGCCTGAATTCATACAGTATTATTTTCTGACTTGCCCTAACCCCGCCCCCTTTTTTTCTTGGTGAGGTAACCCTTGGTTGACCTCACAGATTGCAAGGATTTTGTCATTTTACAATCCCTTTTTTTTTTTTTTCTATGCCTGCAGCACCTGGTATTCTTAGGTGGTCTTCCATCCAAGTACTAACTGGCAGACCCTGCTTAGCTTCCGAGATCAGACCAGATCGGGCTTGTTTAGGGTGGCATGGCCGTGGGCCCTCTCCCCAGCCCCCTTTTTTTTTTTTGCCATGGAGTCTTCTTGTGCCCATCACGTATATGCAGTATCCTATTCAGTTAATGAATGGCTTTTTGACCTTTTTTCTTTTCTTTTCCATTAGGCTGAGTTATATTTGGGGGGATATCCTAAGTAACCTAAAAAGCATTGATAGCCAAACCTACTAAGAAATGATTATCCTAAAAAATGAACAATCAGTAATGTTAATATGGTTTTCCCCTACAGCTAATAAACTAAAGCTGAAAGCTTATTCACTAAGTTTATGTTTCATTGAATGGAATGTTTTTATATGCTAAAAAAAAAAAATCTTATTGTATAAAATATACATAAAGGACAACCATTTTTAATACTTTGATATATTTCCAGCTGTCTCTATATGCATGTGTGTTTCTATACCCAAGCCATTTTTAGTATCCTATACATATACAGTTTATATGCTGCATTCTGTCCTTAGCAGAATTCATTCAGTAAATGTTTGCCTTGTATGTGTCAGGTCCTGTGCTGGTCCTGAGGATACACTAGGGAGCAATAACAAGTCATTCTTATTTTCATGATTCTTATTTCAATGTTTGTCTGCACACATGCACACACGAACATAAGCAGAGACTATGTTTTGCTGTTAGATCCCCTGTGTCAGACACATAGTAGGCAATCAGTAAATTTTTTTTGGCAGTTTTATATCTTTATTTGACAATCAGTAGTTAGTTCTCATCTGCATTAACTAAATTTTTGAAAGTGGTGACAGGCACATAAGTAACCAGCATATAGAATTGTTTGGTGAATCTTCATCCTTATTACGATTTCTGGACCACCGCACTCGAATACAGTATGAGACATTCCTTATCCTTTTGGCCCAAGTGGCTTTGTCGAGCTTAGTGTCAGTGCGGTTGAGCCAGAGTCCATATCTCCAGCATGGCGAATTTCCAGATTTCTTTGGGGGCCCAAGGTGCACGCTTCTTGAAACTTACTTCATGGATGCGCTTGTGAATGTTGATGCTGTATTCTCTGGTCGCTACCTTGCTGATGACAGAACGGCCCTTATTCTCACCATCCTTCCTTGCGGGAGCCATTCTGCTAGGACCACGTGGGAAACACAATCAGTAAATATTTGCTGAAATTTATTGGGATTGGCAGACAGTAACCAAACCATAATGTTAATATGTTATAACTCATAACATATGAGAAGTGATCTGGAGGGAAGGAGCATGATTCTCTGACAGCATTTAACAAATCACTGGTGGAAGGGAATATTTCTGCTCAGCAGACAGCCCAAGCCACTCTGGGGCTTCAGCACCTGCACTTTCCCCAGTCCGGGAACATTCTCCTCCTGCCTCTTGCATTACTGGCTCCTTCTTACCCTTCAAACTCTGTCATGATGCTACCCCTCAGAGGGGCCACCCTACCTAAGGTAGACACACACACACACACACTTCAGTTCAAATCATCTCTTCTTGTATTTACTTTTCAAAACTATGTTTTCTGTTCTCTCCCCACTAGAATGCAGAGAATTTGTGTCTTTTCACACTTGTGGTTCCAAATGCTCAATTTTTTTACCTCAATATAACATTCTTATATAAGTATTAAGTACCAGGAAGTTAAATAGAATACTCAACTGGCTTTTACAGCTCAAGAAAAAATTCCCCCTGCTTCCAGGAGGAAGGCTTTTTATCTGATTTGTTAAACAAATAGACAACCAGATATTTCTCCAGCAAAATGGGTTTATTCGGGAACAACGAAGAATTGCATTTGGACATGGGTCCAAAAGTAAACCAAGAGCAAGTCCAGAGAAAGAAAGGAGAGGAACTCCTCTTTTATAGTCTTGGGAGGATCTGTTGTAAAGAAGAGTCCATCGGAGAGAACTGAAATTTCAAAGTATAGTGATCTTCGTTGGCTGATTTGTGGCAGTCTCCCCTTAGCCAAGCTGTTATTGGGCAAGGAAGAATCTTTTCTTCCTCCTGTTTATAAAGCAAAATAGTATAATAGGTCTCTTCCTGTCGGAGATGTATAATAGGTCTCTAACTGTTGGAATCATTGGTATGTGTTGAGTGACAATGTATGAGGGTTCTTCTAGCCTCCTGACTCCATTTTAAATGAGGTTTCCGTTTATTGATTTTCACACGTCCCCTTTTCGATGAAGAGTTTTCTCTAGATTCATTGCTGATCAAGAGACAGGTTTTTCTGGATTCGGTGGCCTTTTGTTCCTTGATGCCAGGAAGGTTCTCTCCTGAGTGTCATGTTCCACGTCGGAGGAAAGCATATAGATTGGAAACCTATTGTGATCACATTTGAGTAACAAGACGGGTAAGGGGTAGACCTTGCAAGAATTTCCCATCTCAAGTCTGAATCTTAGAATAGTGAATCCGGCAAAGTCATACTCAGAACTGAAAGAATTAAACAAGAGGTTTGGGGAGACACAATACAGGAATAAAACATGAAGCAATTAAACAGTATTGTTATCTCAAAAGAGACTGTTTGGAACAAAATGTCTTATCACTAATACAGCCTGAGGTTTCAGATTGGGAGACTATGAATTGTATAAGAATTCAGAAGCAGTTAAAAGTCTAAATGAAACAGAGACTCTTGTGAATTTTAAATCTTCTAATTGGCCTGGTCTGAACATCTTGGGAAAGCAGTCTCATCAGATGTCCTCTGCTTCAGTTTTGGGAAATCTTCACCTTCAGATCACCAGGTAGTGTGTGGGTCTCGTCAAGGTTAGGTACTTTCTTTAGATGTGTCACGAGAATCCGAGAGTCTCTTGCCTGTAGTTTGGTGGCCCAAGGGTTGGTCAGCAGGATCTGACAGGGGCCTTTCTAACAAGGTTGAAGAGAGAGTCTTTCCAGAGGTGTCTTTTCCAATAGCTGTAGTGTCCAGGTTGCAAAGCGTGTTGCTTAAGATCTTCATCTCCCTGGAGTGCACTGATAAGATTACTCTACCAGCACATGACTAATTTTAATAAAAAAGCTTAGGCCTTTACAATATTGAAGTATTTACCTCCGTTTATCATCTATGGATCAGAAGAGGCAAGGGCCAGGTGCACTGGTCGCCCTCTGACTTTCTCAAAGGCCAAGATTTCATGAGTTCCAAAGGAGATAGATGGGTCTAAGATTTAGAAGGGCCAACAGCATTGCTTTTGGCCAAGGCATTTAGATAGTCTCTGCAGTTTTTGTGAACTGTCTTAATGCCATTTGTGTATTCAACTAAATCTGGAGATTGAGGGTGGTCAGCACAGGGAAAGTGTTGTAGAACAGGCCATATAGCACAAAGTTGTCAAAGCACCTGACTGGAAAAATGGGTTCCCCAATCCTTGTGGATTCTAGAGGGTTTCTCTAGGTGAGGGTAATCTTCTCCAAAAGGGCTTTAGCCACAGAAGAGGGAGGAGATAGGGAAGCTGTATGAAATCCATTTGCTAGACCACAAATGGTCCTTTAGGCAACTTAAAATGTCCAGGAGTAGTGGGGACAGGCAGACTTTCCTGGGTTGTACTTTGGACAGGTGAGGTATAGGCACTTTTTCTGGCCTTCCTTATATTTCCCCACCAGTGTTGATTCATAAATGCTATCATTTTGTACGTGAACCAATGGTTTAATGCATGTACAGTAGTCAGAAATGGGAATTTTAGAGTCTCCGGTAGGACTAGGTTTTGTGGCCCGAACCAGAGCTTTCTCTTTTTATCAAACCAACAATTGTTGTTATTTCCAGTCTTGCTCAGAAAAGGAAATCATTGGGCTTCTCTAGCCAGTTTTTCTCAGTTATCATTTGGTGGAATATCTCTTTGGGCCATGCCAGTGGTTCTACTGCTGTTGGCTCCTTTACAGATAGCGTTCCTTGTGGAAATGTCAGCAAGGTGATTTCCCTTAAGCTTCCAGAGAGTCAAGTTTAGGATGCCCTAGGATCTTAATAATAGCTAAAGCAGCATGTAAAAGTATAACATCCAGTAATTCCTAAACATACGGGCCATTTTAAATTTTATTTCAGCTGGAAGTAAGGAAGCCATCTTGTTTCCACAACATTCCAAAATCATGAACTACTCGGAAAGCCTATCTACCAGTATGAATGTCAGCAGTTTGTCCTTGGCTACGGTGCAGTCCCCTCTGAGCTCGTTAGGCCATAGTAGCCAAAGTCAATGGCGCTGCTTCAGTTACATCAAAGGGTGCTGATATTGCATACCTGCACAACATTCGCCTTCTAAATAAGAACTATCACTGAACCATGAGAAGTCAGCCTTACTTAAAGGAGTTTCCTCCAGATCTAATTTAAGGCTTCTTCCCTTTCTGGTTAAGGCCTTGTTTAGTCTGCAGGGACATGCTTCGCACTTTGGCCTGACTCTTTTGAAACCAGGCAGTTCCACTGAAACTGTAATGGCCTTCAGACCTATTCCTTTTGGAACCATGCTGTTTCTACCAAAACTGAGCTGGCCTTCAGTCCACCTTTGATAATGTTAAAATAGCAGTTATGAAGAATGGGTGCGTAATAAACTAAGCATAGATATTTTGACATGAAAGAAATTTAAACTCTGATAAAGGGAAATGTCTATAAACTAATGAAAAAAATTTTAATACAGGCTTAAAAACTGTAGGAAAAAAATATGATTTGCAAATATCTCCAGAACCAGTTGGCTAAATAGTAAAGAATTTGAAATTTGATCTAAAGAGTGTATAAAACTGATAACAGTCCCCATTCAGCTCCGACACTAGGAACTGGAGATGTAGTGATAAGTAGGATATGGTTCTCGAGAAGATGAGAGTCTCATAGGGAGTATAAATAATAAACAATTACAATATGAAAAGTTCTATGAAATAAGTAAATTTGGGGTATCATGATGACATCAACCCAATATTTTCAGTGAGAGTTGTCAAGAGCCTCAAGGGAGAATTGTCATCTAAGATGAAACTGAAAGATGAGTGCATGGGAAGAATGGCAGGGTCTCTGGCCAAAACTGAAGTGAAACAATGCATAGAGGCCTACAGGGATAAAGTAATTTAATTAAGGAATTGAATATGGCTTGAGAATAGTGTGCAAGAGAGAGGAGAATTCTGATAGTGACATCTTAAAAGTCTGTTAGCCATGTTAAGAAGCCTTAGACATTATCTTGCAGGCATTGGGGAACCATTGAAAAGTAACTAGAAGGGTCCGTGGTCACTGTCATATCAATATTACTATGGTAGTAATGTGGAAAATGAATAAATGGTGGGCAAGGTAGGTGAGAAGACCTATTCAGAAACTCTTACCACACTGCAGATAAGAAATACTGGCTCTGATTAGAAGTAAACGACTGAACCACAGGGATGGAACAGGCATTTTAGTTGTGGAAACTAGTGTGCTGGGTATGTGTGAGTGTGAAGAATCAAAAGAGCACACACTCTGGCTTCATTATGTAATTCAAGATAACGTGACACTTTCCAAGGGGAGCCGTGTGGGGTGGCAATTGAGTATACTTTCTTGGCACCCCAGCTAGAGGTCTGCAATGGAGAGGAACTTGGGAAGCAGCTCTTCTCACAGGTGGTGAAGTCAAGGAGTATACCTACCCACTCAGGGGATATTCAGAGTGAAATAAGAGTTCCTGGAAAGACTCATTAGGGACATCGCATCATCCACTCAGGCAGAGATGGAAGAGCAGCCAGAGGACAAGCTGAAACCCCAGGTGGTGATACTGTCCTGAAAACCAAAGAGAGAGAGAGCTCTTCAGGCAGAAAGGAGTGAAGTTTGAGAGTGATCAATAGCTCAGATGTTGTAGACGGGGTAACTAAAATTACTGAGGAAGAAAGTGTTAGGATTCATGGAAAAAGGAGACCATTCAATGACTTCGAAAGTCATTTAAATGAATTTTGTAGGCCTAGAAATGAGGAAGTGAGAAATAAAACTGACAGGTGTAGATGCCAGAGTGCATTTTGGGAAGCAAAGAAAGTTTAAAATTACATTGTGTGGACAGTGGAAGAAGGAGCAGGATAGTCAGCCTTTATCGAGGTTCTAGTTTTGGTCAGAGACCGTGATTTTTCTGAAGGCATCAATCTGGACAGGTGTGTGTGGACTCATGTCAGAAAGTGATTTAGATTTTTGTAAGCAAGTACATGTGCCTACACAATTTTGGCAAGTGCAGAGAAGGTGAACAGTTCTGTTGATTCATAGCAGAAAACTATTTCACGTTCCTGAAACGCCTGGAACATTGGGGAGTTTTCTGAAACAGCCTATCATATTCCATAATGTCATCTATTGTTAAAATGTAGTTTTGTACCCTAATAATAATTATATTGTAAACTATCTAAAAAACTAATTCAAGGTAGTGTTTTTCTGGATCTGGGAATGTTTAGTTTGAACATCACTATAGGGAAAAAATTCAGTGTTCTGAGCAAGAGAAGAAATTTGCTTATTAAAGGTATGATATTAGACTCAATTATTATAGTATATAAACCTTGTAAATCAACTGGTTGCCAAACCAAATTTTAAACTCTGCACATGGTGAAAGCATGTCTTTCACAGTGCATGTTACTGGGAAGAAATGCTTCATATTTTTTGAATAGATTAAACCATCCAGTTGACATTTCTATTTCCTTACAGAGCACTACATATGAAAGTCATATTAGGAATTCTCTCTTCTTCATGCACTTTCAAGATAGTTACCGAAATGGAACGCATAAAACAAAGGATACTTCAGTAATTTAATCACAGATTTGCTGTTACTTAATTTCTTTCTTGGTGGTTCCAGGAAATTCTAGAAGGTTGCTATCCATTCGTATCTAAACGGAAATATATAGCATTTCTAGCCCGTGTTTGTTTCCCTGTTGAAAGTGAGACTGTCTGGTTCAGGGTATTCAATAAAGGTAATATAAATGTACTGTTATTAATAAAACTCACCTCCATACTAATCTTCCTTTTTAAATAATGCTTTTAATTCCTAGAGATTTTGGTTGGCTTTTTGCTTTTGTTTTGTTTTGTTTTGGGCAGTTGATTGAGGAACATTCAGATATCAAGGTCAGCATAGTGGAAATGTAAACATTTTGCCAGTAGGTGGATTTCAGGTCACGGTAGAAATGAAATGTAAGACTGTATATAGAGAGAATTTCAGAATTTAGAATATGATATGAAATAAGTAAAATTTCACTTGTTTTAGAGTTCTTTTGACCAGTCTCTCAACCTGACATAAGACTAATCCAGGGAGTAAGACAGTAAGGTACCTCAGGGATCAAAATAATAAACCTATCTCCTTTCTTCTTAGGTTCTTAACCTTATAGGAGAGGCCTCTGCATTCTTTTAGCCCTTTAGGACTTCACTTGATGTGTCTCCATCGCATTATTTTACATAATAGTTCTAACAGATTTGTTAGGTCTTTAAGGCCACAGGTAATTAAAAAGAAGAGGAACTGCTTTAAGTAGAAATGACACTATTCTAAGGAGAGAAACAACCCCCTCCAAAAAATGAGAAGTAAAGATTCTAAAAGTATAGCAACATAGTAGGGATATATTGGATAGGCAGCCCAAACAGCTGTCTCAAGGAACTTAACTTCTAAAGTCATGCGTGATCCATTGATCAGTGAAGGAAGATTAAATTACAGTTGATCCTTGAACAACACGAATTTGAACTACCCTGTTTGCTTATGTGTATTTTTTTTTTTTTTTTTTGTATAAATATACTTTCTGCCCATGTCCTGAGTTTCACATCTGTAGACACAACCAACAGTATTTTCCATCTGTAGTTGGGAATCTGACAATGCAGAAGGCCTACTGTGTGTATTGTTCTACACTGCTTTATATAAGTTATGAGCATCCATGCATTTTTGTGTCCTTGAGGAGTCTTGGAACCGTCCCCCCATGGATACAGAGGGAAGACTCTACTTAACTTTTGGGGAACTCAAAAGTTATATACGGTGAACCAAACTCCCGCATTGTTTAACAATCAACTGTGTATTTAAAATAATGTCAAGAAAGCATATTTCTTTTCGTGTAAGTCTATTCAAAGTAGTAAAATTTGATTTTAAATGATGTCTAGTCACTTATAAAATGCTCATTTCACTAATATGAAATGAAGTCATATTTTGAAATACTTTGGTTTATATTTATTTTGATCTGTGAAATCCACAATATTTCTGTAGTAATCACTTCCTATCATAACATTCCTTGAACACTCTCTGAGTATAGAGTATAGTAGAAAAGGAAGGCATATGATCCCTGGCCTCCAAGAGCTTGCCTTCTGAGAGAAGACTGAGCCCGAAGTGACCAGTCATCGTCACTTTGTGTTTCAGACTGTAGAAGAGTAATCTGGCCAGAGCGCTATATACTATAGAAGTCTTCTTAGGGAAGAATTGAGTGTGAAAGGAATTTAGAAAAAATGGGGCAGGATGCATACCTATAAATATATTTTACAATTAAAAATATTGCTGTTGTCTCTTCAGTTTACTGTTGAGTGAATATCCACCTTACTCTACAACAACCAAATCTAGCATTATGTTATTTAAAGCAAGCACAGCACATCTTCCACTACTATGACCAATTGTATAAAAAAGCAGGGAAGTCATTTAAAATCTTGCCTAGGGCATTTCCATTTATTCTGTACTACCTACCTGCTACCAGGCCTTGGCTGGTAAAAATGAGAAAATACTTTATTCTCACCTTCTGATTCTGTTATGTCCAGATGCTTGTGATGATCCACCGAGATACGAATCTATGATGCTCAAGGATGTTTCTAAAGACTTGTATCTTCCTGGGGACCAAATAGAATTTAAGTGTCGCCTAGGATTCAAGCCTATTATACCTCTTCTTCCCACCACTGCTATTTGTCAGTCTGATAACACATGGACACCTCTCCAGGAGGCTTGTACAAGTAAGTAAACAGAACTTTCTTTTTATTGCTCTAGAGATTTTTCTCACATTTTAAGGTTCATATTCCACTATTACATTGACGGTTTCCTCATGTGAATGTGGGTGTTAGGTAGTAATGGTTTTTTTTTTTTCAGGCTTTGAAAATCTCCAGGAAATCCTTTATTTGGCAATTGGTTGTCTGGATCAATGTGAATCTTAAGTTTGGCTTTTATTAGTTAAAGAAAGAAAATAATCTTCCCATGAATTTAATAGAGGAATGTGCGGAATTTTGATTTTGATTCAAACCTGTTTTGAAATTGATATAAAACAACAAATTTCAAAATATTTTTTCAGGAAAATCATGTCCACAACTAGCAGACCCTTCAAATGGTCAAGTAAATGGAACTTTTCTGTTTGGTTCAGAGGTTCACTTTGTTTGTAATGAGGGGTAAGTAGAGGAAATAAGGTAAATATTTCTAGTTCCATTTTTGTTTTGCTCCTCTTCTAAACATTCCCATAATATATTGATTTCATTTTGCTTTCTGTTTGACAACTTGTACTTGTTGCCAATCAACTCTTGGGCTTTTCATGGAGACTGAAAAGATGTGTAATTAATAGAAAGAAATTTCTATTGAAGGAAAGCAAAATCATATAATACTTACTATATGTAATAATAAGCCTATCGTAAGCATTGAAAATGTAGTAATTGTGGCGAATTTATCTCTAACAACAAAGTGCACCCTATTAAAATGGCTAACCCTCAGAGTCGAAGGAGGGCTTATAGAAACAGGAGGTAGAATTGACAAGAATATTGAAGATATTCTTATATCAAGATAACTCTGTCAGATGTTACCATAAGAAAATGGAGCTGGTTAGCCTAGACCATAATGTTGGTCCAGATCACTTAGTTGGGAAACCTTATTTTTGAGAGTGCTACAAAGGACTGAAGCATCACATTAAGAGATACTGAGCACTTAATAGTAGCCTTTGTCCTATAGGGCTCTGTTAATAGTATATATTCGAGATATTAGGCATTTATAAAAAATGTGCATTTAGAGGGTAAATACACTATAGAAATAATAGATCTTTTTATATTAACTCTGTGTCCTAATTTGCTGAATTCATTTATTAGTTCTGTCAGGGGTGTGTGTGTGTGTGTAAAATCTTTAGGATTTTATGCATATAAGATCATGTTATCTGCAGACACTGATAATTTTACTTATTGCTAACCAATTTTGTTGCCTTTTATTTGTTTGTTTGCTTGTTTTGTTTTGATTTTGCCTAATTGTCCTGGCTAGAACTTCCAGTAGTATGTTGAGTAAAAGTGATGAAAGCATCATCCTTGCATTATTCCTAATCTTAGAAGAAAATCTTTCACCTTTTTACCACTGAGTATGATGTTTGCTATGGGTTTTTAATGTATCGTGTTTATTATCTTGAGGTTGTTTCCTCTGTTCCCAGTTTACAGAGTATGTTTAACATGAAAAAGCATTAAATTTTGTCAGGTGCTTTTTCTGCATCAATGGAGATGATAATATGTTTTTTCCCCCTTCATTCTATTGATGTAGCATATTTCATTAATTTTCATATGTTCAGTCATCCTTGCATTCCAGGAATAAATCCCAGTTGGTCATGGTAAATAATACTTTTATTCTGCTGCTCAATTCTGTTTGCTAGTATTTTCTTGAGGTGCTTTGCACCAGGGTTCATAAGGATATGCATCTATAGTTTTCTTTTTTTTGTAGTATGTTTATCTAGTTTTGGTATTTGTGGTCTCAGAATGCGGTCAGAAGACTTTCATCTTCTTCAATTTAAAAAAAAAATTCAGAAGAATTAATGTTAGTTCTTTAAATATTGGTAGAATTCACCAGGGAAACCTCAGGTCCAGGGGTTTTCTTTATTGGGAGATTTTTGGTTGCCGTTTTGATCTCCTGACTAGTTACAAGTCTACTCAGATTCTACATCATTGGTCAGTTTTGTGTTTCTCGGAATTTTTCCATTTTATCTAGGTTAATTTGCTGGCATAAAATTTTTCATTGTACTCTTTTATAATATTTTGTATTTCTATAGAATCAATATTAATGTCCCCGGTTTCATTTCTGATTTTAGTAATTTGTGTCTTCTCTTTTACTTATTAGTCCTTCTAGCTAAAGGTTTGTCAATTCAGTTATCTTTTCGAAAAACCAACTTTTGGTTTCATCTATTTTCTCTTGTTTATCTCTTCTCTATTTTGTTTATCTCTGCTCTAATATTTATTATTTGCTTCCTTGTGCTAGCTTTGGGTTTAGTTCTTTTTCTAGTTCCTTAAATTGTGAAGTTACATCGTTCATTTCAGATGTTGTTTTTTATTATAACCTTTTATGCTAGAAATTCCCCCTTTGCCACTGTTTTTGCAGCATCTCATAAGTTTGGGGATATTTCATTCATCTTAAAGTAATTTATAATCTTCTTCGTGATTTCTTCTTCAATTCATTAGTTGTTAAAAAGTGTGTGGTTCAATTTTTACACTTACGTGAATATTCCAGTTTCCTTTTGATATGATTGCTAACTTCATCCCATGCTCAGAGAAGATACTGTGTATGATAGCTATGGTTTTTAATCTATTGATTATTTAATATTAATTTGTGGCCTAACATAATTAGGTTATTATTATTTATTATGTAATTAATTTATTAATGATGTCAGTTTCTATGATTAAGTTTCAACCTAAAATATAGCCTATCCTGGAAAATGTTTCATGTGCACCTGATAATGTGTATTCTGTTGTTGAGGAGAGTGTTCTATGTTTGTGAGATCTAGTTTGTTTATTGTGTTGTTGAGGTCCTCTTTTTTTATTTACCTTCTGTCTAGTTATTCTATCCATTATTATGAGTGGGATATTGAAGTCTGTAGAGATACGTATTTCTCCCTTCAATTCTGTCAGTTTCTGCTTCATTTATTTTGATGGACTGTCATTAGGAGGGTAAATGTTTATAATTGTTATATCTTCTTGCAATATTGAACGCTTATTAAATATATAATGTCCTTCTTTGGTCTTGCAACCTTTTTGATTTTAAGGCTATTTTATATCAGTGTAGCCACCTCTGCTCTCTTATGGTTACTATTTGCTTGGAATATATTTTTCCATTTTTTCACATCCAGTTTGGGTCTTTGTATCTCAAATGGGTCTCTTTTAGACAGCATATAGTTGGATCATTTATTTTTATCCATTCCTCCAATCTCAATCTTTGGATTGGAGAGTTTATCATTTTAACTTTAAAATAATTATTAGCAGGAAGGACTGTTTTCTTTCCTTTTCCTGTTACTTTTCTACATGCCTTAGAGCTGTTTTCACCTTCCTTCCTGATTGATTTTGTAGTGAAATGCTTAAATTCTTTTCTCATTTTCTTTAGTGTCTATTTTATAGAGTTTTTGTTTGTGGTTATCATGTAAATTATATTTAAAATCGTAAAATTTTAATACTCCAATTTGAATTTATACTAACTTCAGTAAATTACAAAACCTGCTCCTTTCAGCATTTTTTTCAGGTGAGGTTTAGTTGTAAAAAACTCCCTCGGCTTTTATTACTGGAAAAGTCTTAGTATCTCCCTCACTTTTGAAGCACAGTTTTTCTGGATAGAGGAATTTAGTTGTCAATTTTTTCTCTTAGCACTCTGAGCCTATTAGTTCACTGTCTTCTGGCTTCCAAGTTTTTGATGAGAAATCTGCTATTATAATCTTATTTAGGATCCTTTGTACATGATGGCTCGCTTCTCCCTTGCAGCTTTCAAGGTTTTCTCTGTCGCTGCCTTTTGAAAGTTCAGTCATTATGGGTCTTACTGTGGGTCTCTTGAGTTCATCCTACTTGGTGTTTCTTGAACATTTACATTCATGTATTTCATCAAGTTGGGGACGTTTTCAGCCATTATTTCTTCAAATATACTCTGTCTCATCTCTCTGTCTTCTGAGAATCCCACAATGCATATGTTGAGCTGCTTATTGGTGTCTCACAGGTCCCACAGGTCCCCTAGGCTCTGTTGACTTTTCTTCAGTCTTTTTTCTTTCTATTCTTCAAACAATATTTCCATTGTTCTTTCTTAAAGTTCATCAACTCTATCTTTTACCTACTAAAAACTGCCTTTAGTTTCACTAGTGAATTTTTCATTTAAGTTATTTTACTTTTCATCTCCAGTTTTCTTTTTGGTTTCTTTTTAGCTTTTCTATCTCCTAATTGATACTTACATTGTGCTCACACATTGTTTTCTTGACTTCCTACATTTCTTCCTTTAGTTCTTTGAGCATCTTTAAAATAGTTATTTTAAAGTCTTTATGTATTAGATCTGGCATCAAGTCTTCTCCAGGGATAATTTCTGTTCATTGATTTTTTTCCTTTTAATGGGCCATACTTTCCTGTTTCTTTGTATACTTTGTGATTTTTTTTCTTGAACTGGACATTTGAATCTAATGATGGGATAACTCTGCAAATCAGATTATCCTTCCCAGGGATTGTTGTTTTCTCCAGTTGTTTCTGGTTTTATGCTTGTTGTAGGGTCCGAGGATCAGCCTGATGCGCAAACTGAAGGTCTTCTCAAGTCTTTTCCGAGCCCTTGTCTGGGCATGCGCATTCACTCTAATTCTCCCCACATATGCAATTGTTTTTGGACGTCCTGATTTTAATGTCTGTCTCTTGAAAGGGGAAAAAGAAAAGAAAAATGAAGAGGGCTGCAAAGGACACTGGATCTTTAAATCCCTGGGAAGTGACTTCAGTACGCAAGGAGTGGGCTTGCAAGGGTCAGGGACATGTGACAATCATGGCTGCCCCCCTTTCGTCTGCTTTTCTAGAATCAGAAGCAGCAGTTAGTGATAAGAGTACAGATCCCGGATATTTATGAGAACAGGCCTCTTTTTTCCATCCCTGGCTCCCACAGGCTGTTTATGAGCTGCTCCAGGAACACGTGTACGGCTGCCTGCTGGGAGAGTGGGGTGGGTAGCTGCCATTATGTTAAGAGCTGAAAGTTAATGATATTTTAATGTAGTTTCCATGTCCAAGTCTTCCCTCTGGAACCAGAGTTCCAAAATGGTTACATTATGCAGATTCTAGCCCTGCAGTTATTGTCTTTGTAGGGAGACAGATACTTGGTGCTTTCTACCTTGCCATCATCCCGAAATCCTCTACTAATACAATGTAATATATAATCAATGAGTGAACCTTGGGAGAAAAGTCAGCTGGAAGTAGGTATAGGCAGGCAGTTTAACTGACTTTTTTTACTTAAGTAAAAATATCTAGTCTAAAGTCAGAATGTGCTAGGCACTTTGAGGAGTACTAAGAGGTTAAGACATACACTCCTTTTAAAGAAGACTTATTGGAAAGGACAATATATACAGAGGTGTCAAAGCAAAATAGTAAATGAGAAGTACCAAAGAAATAGACTTATTCATGCTCATTATAAGGAGAGCTAGAAGAAGGAAAGAGTACTGTAAATGTAAATCATCACAGATTTTATTGAGTGGGAGTTTTTCTGAGCTACTCCTAGGAGGATAATTCTGATCTGAAGAAAATTCATAAGCCCTAAAACTTACCTAGCACTCACTGTGTGGCAGATGCTAACTCATCTAATAATCAAAACAGCTGTGCAAGATATACACTATTATCCTCTTTTTAGTTGAGGAAATGGTGCTAGAGAAGCAGTAAGAGACTTGCCCAAGCTCAAATAACAAGTCAGTCTTGGAGCTGAGACTCGAATGCAGTCAGGTAAACTCTAGCACCTGATCTCTCTACTCAGTCATCATCCTAACTGAGCAGAATGGCATGAGCAAAGGAGAAGTAAATATGTGGTATGACTGCCTGAGATAGCGAACACCTGTAGGCATGACAGATTTATTTAGACATTTCACTCTAGGTCAGTGTGTGCTCAAATGCAAAAGCTATTTATATCATTAAATTGCAGATTTAGTTAATACTTTCATTATAGGTCACTTAAGAGACTTCTCCTTTAAACTACTGTAATGCTGGAAAACAACCATATAACAATTTTCTTCATTATTATGTGCATCATGTTAACTGGTAAATAAAAGTTATCTTTTCTTTTCTCATTTAGTTATGAATTAGTTGGAACAAAAATTCTATATTGTGAAATTTCTGAAAATAATGTGGCTTGGAGTGGTGATCCCCCACAGTGTGAAAGTAAGTATATTCTCTACTTAGAATTTTGAGCTGCAGTTCTCAAACTTTTTGGCTTTGGGTTCATTTTATACTTTTAAATTAACAAAAACCCCATTAAGCTTCTCTTCAGGTGGGATATGTCTATTGATATTGATTATATTGGAAGTAAAACTGAGACATTTTTTAAATGATTATGTATTAATTCATTATTAAGAACAGTAAGCACAATACATATTAACATATGCAATGTATTTTTTATGAAAAATTAAAAATTTCAAAACAAATAGAATAGTGGCATTGTTTTACATTTTTACAAATCTCCAGTATTTGGAGAGATTTTGCAACTCTCCCGAACATCTGGCTTCAAGGTAGACCTCAGGATTCAGGTAATTGCATTAACACATGATTTGTAGTCTCTGTCATATTTCACCATACAGCCTTACAGGATGAAAGTGAAAAAGGATAATACATTTTCTCATAGAAACTTTCTTTTAAATGGATGTTGGATTCACAACTACATTGTAGAAATCATGTGTTAATGAATTTATTGAAGGCAGTTCAGAGGCCATTACTAATGCTGTCTTAATCTTTTACCTTTTCTTTTGCCTTTCCTGTCATCTTCTCTCTTTTTAAGAGATTATGTGTCAACCACCTGGAGACATACCAAATGGAAAACATACCAGTAGCCACAAGGATGTATTTGAATATAATGAAGTAGTAATTTACAGCTGCAATCCTTCAGGAGGACCAGACGAATATTCACTTGTTGGAGAGAGCAGACTAGTTTGTTCTGGGAGAGACACATGGAGTAGTGCCCTTCCTGAGTGTAAAGGTAATAATATTTCTATTCATTTCTTCATTTGTAAGTAGTTTGGAAACACTTTGTATATACTTTTACCAATTAGTAAACAGAAGAACCATATATATGTACTCCTTATATTAAATTGGTTTCTCATTTAATATGAGTCAAATAGAACCAAATAGACTTTCCCACCCTTCACCCCACATGTTCTTAGATTCCAATTTATGCACTGTGAATTACTGTATAGATGCATGAATTAGTATTTTTTTGCTTCGAAGTATCAAAACTCAATATACATTGGCTTAAAATAAAAAGAGTTTTATCTCGTATTACAAGAAGTCTAAGAGTTCTGGCAACAGGAAATGGTAGAGTAAATTGTAACAGACTAAGCCTCTCACCAATAAGATTAATAAACTCTAGATGAAACATACAGGCACACCTTAATTAATTATGCTTTGCTGTATTGCACTTCACAGATATTATGTTTTTAAATATTGAACACAAGACCCTCACCAGCAGAGATTATGCCTCACTTTATTTCGATACTCATTTTATTGCTATGGTTTGATACCGAACCTACAATATCTCCAACATATGCCTATACTTTAAAAACAGTGTTTAAGGCATTAGAGCATGACTTAAAACAGGGTATTTGACTTTTGAGAGAAAGAACCACCAAATAATAGCAAAATAATTACTCTTGTCAAGTGTAAGTGGAGCATTCTCTAATTACATATTCTAGGCAATAAGATAACTTTAAACAATTTTTAAAAAATTGAAATCATTTACTGTACATATCTGTTCACAATGGAATGAATGTAGAAATCAAAAAAGACATCTAGAAAATCCCCAAATATATGAAAATTATGCAAGACACTTCTAATAATCCATGAATCAAAGAAGTCACAAGCAAAATTAGAAAGTGTTTTGAATTAAATAAAAATGAAAATACAACATGTCAAAATATTAAAGTTTGTGGGATAGAGCAAAACATTGCTTAGGTAGGATATTAATAGCATGAATTACCTATGTTAGAAAAGAGGAAATGTTTCAAATCAATAATTTAAGCTTCCACTTTATGAAACTAAAAAAGAAGAGCAAATTGTACCCCCAAACAAGGAAACAGAAGGAAATAATAAAGGTAGAAATCAATGAAATTGAAAAGACAAAAATATAGAGAAAATCAGTGAAACCCACACATAGTTCTTGGAGAAGATCAATAAAATTTTTTAATGTATAAACAGTCTGACAAGAAAAGAAAATATAAATTACTAATATCAAGATTGAAAAACAGAACATCACTAAATATCCTGCACATATTTAAAGGATAATGAGAGAATAACATGAACAACTTAATGCCTACAAATTTGACAAGTCTTCTCACAAAGAGAACTGTTCTCCCTAAGGAAATCTACCAAACATGTCAGAAGTAAATGATATCAACTCTACACAAACTTCAGGAAAATACAACAGGCATTATACTTCTCACTTCATCTCATGGGACCAACATTGTCCTGATACCAAAACCATACAGCAACATTTCAGGAAAATGACAAATAATATTCATAATGAACATAGAACCAAAACTCCTTAACAAAATGTCAACAAATCAAATCCCTGTCATATGTAAAAATAAGAATGCATCATAATCAGGTGGAATTTATTCCATGAATACAATGTTAATTCAAATTTTAAAATTAATCAGTAATTTACTGTGTCAGGAGCCTATATAAAGAAGAAAAAAATACATGGTCATCTTAATAGATGTAGGAAAAATAAAGCATTGGATAGAATTCATCATCTTTTTATTATGAAACTTTTCAGTGAACTAAGAATGGAACTATCTGTCCCTAATAAATGGCTCCTACAAAAAACCCATAGCTAACATTTTACTTTTTGGTAAATGACTGATTTATTCCCCCTAAGATAGGAACAAGATACTCTCGCCACTCTATTCAGCATTGTATTGGCTGTCTTACCCAGCACGATAAGGCAAGAAAAAGAAATAAGCATACATTATGGAGAAAAAGAGGCAAAGTAGACTATAGTCGGTATGATATGATTGTATATGTAGAAAATTGGAAAGACTGAAGTTTTAGCCAGGTTGCAAACATAAGATCAATGTACAGAAATCAGTTCTATGTCTGTATACTAGCAATAAACTATTAGACATTGAAATTTTTAAAGTAATATTTATAACAGCTAAAACTACATATAATATTTCAAAATAAATTTCATAACACGTGTAAATTTCAAATGGTAAAAACAACTAAAAACTTATAAAAGAAATTAAAGAAGACCTTAATGGAGAGAAATTAAGTGGTTATGGATTGGAAGACTGAATTATAGTAAAAGTGTCAGTTTTCCATAATTGATCTATAATTTCAGCACAATCCCAATAAAACCTCAGTAGAACTTTTTGTATAAATTGACAAACTGATTCTAAAATTTACATGAAAGATATAATAGTCAAAATTTTGAAAAAATTAGAGGACTTATTCTACCTGATGTCAAGACTTACTATAAAACACACTATAAAGCATATAATCAAGATAGTGTGGTTCTGGTGAAAAGATAGCCCTAGAGAAAAATAGAACAGAATAGAGAGTCCAGAACACACCCTTTTAGATGTTTGTAGTAGATTACATTGCAAATGTACAAGTAATTCAGTAGAAAAATGATTAAAGAGCAGGCACAATTTAATACCCATATCCAAAAAAAAAAACAACTTAACCCATGTTAGCACCATTTACATTTACTCAAAGCATCACAGACTTAAGTATAAAACCTGAAAATATAAAACTTTTACTAGAAAACATAGAAAATATTTGTGACCTAGACCAAGATTTCTTAAATTAACCGTAAAAGCATGATCCTTTAGAGAAAAAAAAATTAATAAATTGGATGTCTTAAAAACTCAAAAACTCTGCTCTTATAAAACACTTATAAGAATGAAAAAAAAATGAAAAAAAGAATGAAAAAAATAGTATGGGAGAAAATAGTTGCAAAGAAAATATATACAATATATAAAGTTATGTAAAGAACTCAAAACAATAAGAAAACATCCCATTTTTTTTAAATGGGCAAAAAAGTACATGAAAAGTTACTCAATAGCATTAGTAATCACAGACATGTAATTTAAAATCACAGTGATATACAATTAAACACATATAAGAATGGCTAAAACTAAGAACAAAAACCTAACAATACCATTACCGGCAAAGATATGGAGCAATTGCAACTCTCATAAATTGCTGTTAAGAATGCAAAGTTGTATGACCATCTTGGAACACAGTTTGGCAATTTCTTATAAAATTGAACATACACTTACCATACAACTCAAGAGAATACATTACTGAACCCAGAGTGAGGACAACAGTATCCAACATGATTTGAAAAATATTTTTAGAAAGAGAGAGACTTACAGACCTGTAGAAGAGTAGCAAGCAGTCAAACATACATGTTAATGGCTTTTCAGAAAGAGAGGAGAAAGCAATATAGACAATTACTTGAATAAATATTGGCCAAAAATTATCCACATTTGATGCAAAACAACAACCCCACATGTTCAGGAAATTCAGTGGCCCTAGCAGGATAAATAAATTTTAAAAGTTTACCAATAAACCTTCAGTAAACTAAACATATGGTAAAACTTTTGAAAACAAAAGATAAAAGAAAGAGCAGCCGGTGGGTGAGAGGAGGGGAAAAAAAACATATCACATTGCCTCACCCATCTAAACGAGAATGACAGCCGACTTCTCGTAAGGAACTCTGAAAACTAGAAGACAGTAGTGTCTATTAAACTGCTGAAAGAAAAATAAAACACGTAACCTAGAAATCTCTGTCAAGGATTTATTTTATTTTTATTTTTCAATTACAGTTGACATTCAGTATGATATTAGTTTCAGGTGTACAACATAGTGGTTAGGCACTTTTAAATAATTTACGACATGATCACCAGGATAAGTCTAGTGCCCACTTACACCACACATAGTTATTACAATATAACTGACTATGTTCCCTATGCTGTACTTTACATCCCCGTGACGATTTCATAACTACCAATTTGTACTTCTTAATATATTCACCTTTTAAGGAGATATCTTTTAAAATTGAAGGTAATAAATAAAAACAGTTTGAGATAAAAGCTAAGAGAACTTGTAACTAGTTGAACTGCAATAAAGAATGACTAAAGAAAGATCTTCAGGCTGAAGGGAAAAGATACCTGATGGAAATTCAGATCCACAGAAAACTAGGAAGACTACTCTTCTGGTCTAAGAGTTCGTACATTGTGGACCCTTATCTACTACTGAGATTTAATCTTCTAAGAAGTTCTCTTGTACTCACTGCCCAGTCCAGTGTTTTTTTGTTGGTGATTTTTTCCAAATTCTGCCAAACTCATTACTGGATCCTGAAATTAGTCTAGAGGGTTGTGACCAGCATTTTACTTCCTAATTAGTAGAGCAGAATGGGAAATACTAGAGTGGTATAAAGGCTAAGTATTAACTTTTAACTTAATCTCGGACCTGCGGGATATTCTGGTTTACAATGTAAAATGTGGTGCTTGAGCTCTGGGTTATAGTTGAAAATATTTGGAAAACACAGCCCTAACTCTACTGCCTATTATTTTAGTTAGTTAGTTAGTTAGTTAGTTAGTTAGTTAGTTAGTTAGTTAGTTAGTTTGAAGTATACAGTACAATG